ATTTTAAAGAATCTCGAGGAGTTATTGTGTCTTGTGTTTGAAGTAGTTTCAAGGAATGTGGGGGCCACTGTCGGTCTTGTTTTTGAAGTAATTTAAAGAATTTCGGGGATCCCATGTTTATTTTTGGAAATAATTTGAAAGAATCTCGGAGACCCCTTATGTATGGTTTTTGAAGTAGTTAGAAGGAATCTCAGGGACCCATTTGTTTTGTTTTTGAAGTAGTTTAAAAGAATCTTGGGGACCTCCTGTGGGTCATGTTTTTAAAGTAAATTGAAAGAATCTTTAGGACCCCTTGTGTTTGATTTTTGAAGTAGTTTGAAAGAATCTTGAGGAAACCCCTGTGGGTCTTGTTTTTGAAGTAATTGGAAAGAATCTCGGAAACAACTTGTGTTGAATTTTTGAAGTAGTTTGAAAGAATTTCGGGAAATCCTTTTGCTTTGTTTTTGAAGAAGTTTAAAAGAATCTTGGGGACCTCCTGTGGTTCTTGTTTTTGAAGTAATATGAAAGAATCTCGGGGACACTTTGTGTCTTGTATTTGAAGTAAATTGAAAGAATCTCTGAGACCCTTTATGACTGGTTTTTGAAGTAGTTAGAAGGAATCTCGGGGACCCATTTGTTTTGTTTTTGAAGTAGTTTAAAAGAATCTTGGGGACCTCCTGTGGGTCCTGTTTTTAAAGTAATTTGAAAGAATCTCTAGGACCCCTTGTGTTTGACTTTTGAAGTAGTTTGAAAGAATCTTGAGGAAACCCCTGTGCGTTTTGTTTTTGAAGTATTTTGAAAGAATCTCGGGGACACCGTGTGTTGGATATTTGAAGTAGTTTGAAAGAATTTCGGGAACTCCTTTTGCTTTCTTTTTGAAGAAGTTAACAAGAATTTTGGGGACCTCCTGCGGGTCTTGTTTTTGAAGTAATTTGAAAGAATCTCGGGGACCCCGTGTGGGTCTTGTATTTGAAGTAAATTGAAAGAATCTCTGAGACCCATTATGTCTTGTTTTTGAAGTAATTTAAAGAATTTCGGGGATCCCATGTTTTTCTTTGGAAATAATTTGAAGGAATCTCGGGGACCCCTAGTGTTTGATTTTTGAAGTTGTTTGAAAGAATCTCGGGAACCCCATTTGCTTTGTTTTTGAAGTAGTTTGAAAAAGTCTCGGGGAACCCTTTATTTTGTTTTTGAAGTAGTTTAAAAGAATCTTGGGGACCTCCTGTTTTTAAAGTAATTTGAAAGAATCTCTGGGACCCCTTGTGTTTGACTTTTGAAGTAGTTTGAAAGAATCTTGGGGACACCTTGTGTTGGATTTTTGAATTAGTTTGAAAGACTTTCGGGAACTCCTTTTGCTTTGTGCTTGAAGAAGTTTAAAAGAATCTTGGGGATATCCTGTGGGTCTTGTTTTTGAAGTAATTTAAAAGAATCTCGAGGACACTTTGTGGGTCTTGTATTTGAAGTAAATTGAAAGAATCTCTGAGATCCATTATGTCTGGTTTTTCAAGTAGTTTCAAAGAATCTTTGGGATCCCCTATAAGTCTTTTTTTGAAGTAATTTTAAAGAATCTCGGAGAGTCATTGTGTCTTGTGTTTGAAGTAGTTTCAAGGAATGTGGGGGCCACTGTCGGTCTTGTTTTTGAAGTAATTTAAAGAATTTCGGGGATCCCATGTTTTTCTTTGGAAATAATTTGAAGGAATCTCGGGGACCCTTTTTGTTTTGTTTTTGAAGTAGTTTAAAATAATCTTGGGAACCTCCTGTTTTTAAAGTAATTTGAAAGAATCTCTAGGAACCCTTGTGTTTGACTTTTGAAGTAGTTTGAAAGAATCTTGGGGACACCTTGTGTTCTATTTTTAAAGTAATTTGAAAGACTTTCGGGAACTCCTTTTGCTTTGTTTTTGAAGAAGTTTAAAAGAATCTTGGAGACATCCTGTGGGTCTTGTTTTTGAAGTAATTTGAAAGAATCTCGAGGACACTTTGTGGGTCTTGTATTTGAAGTAAATTGAAAGAATCTCTGAGATCCATTATGTCTGGTTTTTCAAGTAGTTTGAAAGAAACTTTGGGACCCCCTGTAAGTCTTTTTTTGAAGTAATTTTAAAGAATCTCGGAGAGTCATTGTGTCTTGTGTTTGAAGTAGTTTCAAGGAATGTGGGGACACCGTCGGTCTTGTTTTTGAAATAATTCAAAGAATTTCGGGGATCCCATGTTTTTCTTTGGAAATAATTTGAAAGAACCTCGGAGACCCGTTATGTCTGGTTTTTGAAGTAGTTAGAAGGCATCTCGGGGACCCCTTTTGTTTTGTTTTTGAAGTAGTTTAAAAGAATCTTGGGGACCTCCTGTGGGTGTTGTTTTTAAAGTAATTTGAAAGAATCTCTAGGACCCCTTGTGTTTGACTTTTAAAGTATGTAGTTTGAAAGAATCTTGAGGAAACCCCTGTGGGTCTTGTTTTTTAAGTAATTTGAAGAATCTCGGGGGCACCTTGTGTTGGATATTTGAAGTAGTTTTGTTTTTTAAGTAGTCTGAAAGAAATTTGTGTTTTGTCTTAAAGTATTTATGTAGTTTGAGAGAATCTCAATGTTCTTTTATCTTGTTTTTGAAGTAATTTTAAAGAATCTATGAAAGACTCACTAGTAAAAAATTAAACTTACCCCCGCCCACCCACCTGTCCTCTCATTTTTTTTCTTATGTAATAAGAAATAAATCTTATGACAAATAGTAAAACAAAAGAGTCACGATTAGCCCTTTTTTACAGCCCAATTTCTATTAGTTACCACTTCTACCCTACAGAAGAATATATATATATAACTGACCCCGCCCACCCACCCGCCTCCGTTTCGGTGACTAATTTTATCAACTTTGAATGAAAGGTGGGTCTTATACAAAAATAAAATTAGTCGCTAGAATAAGAAGAAGGAAGGTGGGCGGGGCACTAGCCCATAATTAGTCTTATATTAACAAGTACTAACTTGTTAACATAAGACTAATTTTTCCAAATGACATACCTCTAAGAAAATAGATGGTGGGTGGGTGGGGCTAGTACTTGCAACGATAAGACTGAACAACATGAAGAGTAGTAACTGGAATGAAATGTGCGGGGCTATTGCTTGCCCATAAAAGACTCTCTAGGAAAAAGTTAAACTTAGCCCCACCCACCCATTCTCTCAATGTTTTTTCTTTTGAAGTAAGAAATAAATCTTATAACAAATAGTACAACAAAAAAGTCACGATTAGCGCTTTTTTTACAGTCTAATTTCCACTCCCACTTTACAGAAAAACATATAACTAACCCCGCGCACACACCCGCCTCCATTTCGGTGATTAATTTTATCTTATTAGTGTTAAAAAATTAAAGAAACCATTAGTAAGAAAATTGAAATAAAATCAAGAACAAAATCTGAGCAAAATTTAAGGACCTTTTCTAAAGTAAGTTTGCTATAACGAATCAGTAAATATTTACCTGTTTAAATTTAATTTGAACATTTATTCTTCAAACACCCCGCTCACAGCGCAGTGTGTACCAAAACCATCGTATATTCAAGAAAGAACTTGTCTATGTTTTAATTAAAATCAAACTACAAATTCAAAAATTAAATTAATTTTTTGATATACGGAAATTTGGTTACATTGTGACTACAGAATTCCGAGTTTTCGTTAGGACCTTGCACCAAAATTAAATATTAAATGTCGACCTGAAAGTTTTTAATACAAGAGGAAACGAACGTTCAATATGTACAAAAGTCGCGACTGTTTTCAGAACATTAAAATTTAAATATTTAAGTTAGAAAAATAAAGGGAAGGAAATTGATTTAAAGCACAAAAACTTTGAGAAAAACGTACAGATTTATCAAACAGAACGGAAATTTCTATACGAATTGCACGTTTTTTTTTGCAACATTCCTGGCGTATTTTGTAGGTAAATTGCGCTGTTGGTGAACTTTGAATAGTAGACAAAAACCAGACAGATTTTCACATGTTGTCAGAGCTTGTGATTGATGAACCTGGATTAACAACAAGCACAGCGTGTAATTTGTTCTTGTCGGAAGCGTTCTCCGGACAACAAAGAAAATAAATTTCATCTTGAAGAGCCCCGCGCTTACAAAAAAGAATTATTAAATCGTTCAATAAAATGTCGTGTGATTCGCCAACTTTTGCACTGAACAAATCACAAACGATGTACACGGAACCAGGCAATTTCCATCCACAGGTATTTTAAGCACTTAGTAACTAACTTCACGGCCATTTGGATACTTTCCCACAACTCCAAAGTGACAATTAACTGTCACGTCACGTATTAACCACAAATTGAACGTTGAAAATTTCTCATGCAAACTAGCCCCAACTTCCTTCCAGTAAGCTTTTCCTCCACATCTACCCAAATTATGGAATCCGACTGATATACATATTTCATGGTTTGCTGTAAATTTGAACTGAAATCTTCGTGTCTCTAGAAAGTCTTGCAGTCAGCAACAGGTGTGTCTGCTAATTTATTTAATAGTTCAGCAAGATTTATGGTTACCTTTAGAAAATGGCGGTTATGCGAACACTCGCCGTCTTCACCGCGGGCATTATTGGAGGGATTTGTTTTTCGAACGTGAAAGACATCCTGTGGAATTTTCTTGACTTAGAGTCGACGAGGAAATGGACGGACTGGGGCACAAGGTGCGACGAGCTTGCTAACGAGGTGAAGTGCAAGTGTTGGAGCAAGGACTAAAAAATTATTGTAATAAATAGATCCCAAGCAAACTGAACTCGGAGTTTTTTTTATAGTTAACACGTTCGGGTGGTTCTAATTTATGTTTAAAATTTTTCTACTTGTGCATAACGGATGAACGTAAAAAGTTTTCAGAAGTCCATTAAAATTAATTGATGAACATCATCCTAACATTTAAAGGCTGCTCTTCTTTAATATCAACACGAGCATAAAATTTTCTTGATGACGTCATCAAGTTTTCGGTGGGGATGTAGATAAAATAGATTAGATCTTTTAGCATTATTGTCTGATTCGTTTTTCTTTGTTCCAGTTACGGAGAAAGAAATACGGCAATGGTAAGAGTCGTCACTTTATTTCAGAAAATATTTATTTTCGGTCGTTGCAGGCATAAAGGATTTTTGAAAGACTGTCCGAATGGGCTTCTGACTGAACAGGTACTCTTTATCTAGCTTTGAGCTTGTGGATGCTAACGGTGTATTTCAGGGCTTCATTAAAATTTACAAACAATTCTTCCCTCAAGGAGATCCTTCCAAATTCGCCTCACTAGTGTTTAGAGTGTTCGACGAAAATAACGTAAGTAATTATTAATAAAATAAAACGCAAAGGTCTTAGTGCCTTGGTGAGAGACATCTGGTGAATGTTGTATGATACCAACTTATTAGTTTACACGCTAGCGATGGCCTGGTTAATATATTAAGTTAGGAGTTAGGCCGGTATGCAACTATACTTAAATAAAATATTTACAGGATGGCTCCATCGAGTTCGAGGAGTTCATTCGGGCACTTTCCGTAACGTCTAGAGGTAATCTGGACGAGAAGCTACACTGTAAGTATGGAACGATTCGTTAACTTCGGGAGAAAATAAATTTTTAAGTGTCCGCTTTCGAATGAATTTAATTGTTGCGGTTTTAGGGGCATTTAGACTTTATGACGTGGACAACGACGGGTTCATAACACGAGAAGAAATGTACAATATAGTAGACGCCATTTACCAGATGGTGGTAAGTAAACTTTTAATGTCTTGATATTAACCGTCTGTTGCGGCCTCGATGAAAAGATAAACAATAAAGCTGAAATTTAATTAAAAACAGGTGAAATTTGAACTGCAAAATATAAAGCGCCGGCAACAGTTAGATAAAATTTTAGTAGGTGTTAATTTTACAAAAGTTTGCTGAATAACTTGATACATAAAACAGTTATGCGACAGAAATGTCGATCGTAACCTAATTTTAGTTCGTAGTTTTAATTACAGTGATCGTATTTAACAGTTTTTAAACTTCATGTTCGAATAAAAGGAAAAATGAAACAATTTAAGGTTTTAAAATGTGATTATCAAAAATGTACGCCAAAATGCGATGTTGCAATTTTTTATTTCACAAAATACCTCAAAAACTAATCTGTGAAACTGAAAAAAATCTTCTAGTCGAGTATGGAATTAATTTTTTTTAAAGACTGTGGTGTGCTGTTGTTTTCCATAGAAGTTACAGGTCAATTAATATAGTAAAAAAAAATGCTCTAAGCAAAATATACAATGTTTATTATCTAAAGTTGTTACCGAAATGAAGTCAAGCAAGAAAATAGCGAATTGTCTTAATCTCTTTAATCCCATCCAATTTCACAAACAATTTCCCCTAATCTCAAGAACGAACAGCTGTGACAGCGCACACTTTGCCAACACATTTTTTTTATAATTCCATGACTGACTCGACGAGATTTTTTTCGATCAATTGGTATTTAGTGCTACATCCCTATCATATTTCTGAAGCTATTTCTTAGAACTTTCTAAAGAAATTACTGTGGTTTCTGGCGCCTGAGAGGCTGAAATTTTACTTCAATTAAAAGTGTACAAATGTGAATTCGGGTTTCGGCATTCAGGGGTATCACAGCTAATGACTCCTTTGGAAAATTCCCAATTTCTAGATGGTCCCATCCGCCCCTGCCTCTGATGTCTTGTTTTTGAAGTAATTTGAAAGAATCTTGAGAACCCCTTGTGTTTTATTTTTGAAGTAATTTGGATGAATATCAAGGATCTTTCTGTGTACTGTTTTTGAAGTAATTTGAAAAAATCTCAGGTAGCCCTTGGGTAGGGTTTTTGAAGTAATTTGAAAAACCCCTTGTTGTTGTTTATAAACGAGTTTGAAAAAATTTCGGGGATCACATGTTTTCTTTTTGAAATAATTTGAAAGATTCTTAAGGACTCCATATATCTTGTTTTCGAAGTAATTGGGCAAGAATCACCCCTTTGGTTTCATTTTTAAAATAATTTGAAGGAATCTCGGGGGTCTTTCTTCGTATTGTTTTTGAAGCAATTTGTAAGAATCCCTTGTGTTTTGTTTTTGAAGTAGAATTTGAAAGAATCGTGGGCTCCCCTGTGAATCTTATTTTTGAAGTAATTTCAAAGGAACCTCGGGGACATCTTGGGTTTTATTTTTAAAACTGAAAGAATGTCGGGGACCTTTTTATTTTGTTTTTGAAGTAGTAAATTGAAAGAATCGCGGAAAGCTGTTGTAACTTATTTTTGAAGTTGTTTGAAAAAATCTCGGAAAACCCTTATGTCTGGTTTTTGAAGTAGTTTGAAAGAATCTTGGGAATTTCTTGTCCTATTTTTGAAGTAGTTTAAAAGAATCTAGGAGACCTCTTTTGTTTTATTTTTGAAGTAGTTTGAAGGAATCTCGGGGACCCTTTATCTCTGGTTTTTGAAGTAGTTTGAAAGAATCTTAAAGATTCCGTGTCTTATTTTTGAAGTAATATGAAAGAATCTCGGAGACTTCTTGGGTTTTATTTTTGAAGTAAATTGAAAGAATCTCGGAGACCCCTTACGTCTGGTTTTTGCAGTAGTTAGAAAGAATCTCGGGGACCCCTTGTGTTTGACTTTTGATGTAGATCGAAAGAATCTTGGGGACCTCCTGTGGGTCTTGTTTTGGAAGTAATTTCAAAGATATATTTGAAGTTGTTTGAAATAATCTCGGAGACCCATTATGTCTGGTTTTTGAAGTCATTTGAAGAATCTCAGGGACCCCTTGGGTTTTATTATTGAAGTCGTTTAAAAGAATCTTGGGGACCCCTTCTGGGCCTTGTTTTTGAAGTAAATTGAGAGAATCTCGGGGAGCTCCTGTGTTTTAAGTTATTTGAAAGAATCTCAAAGACCCCTTGTCTCTCGTTTTTGAAGTAGTTTGAAAGAATCTCGGAGACCCCTTTTGTTTTGGTTTTGAAGTAGTTCAAAAGAATCTTGGGGACCTCCTGTGGGTCTTGTTTTTGAAGTAATACTAAAGAATCTCGGGGAGCCATTGTGTCTGGTTTTTGAAGTAATTTGAAAGAATCTTAGCGACCTTTGTATTTTGTTTTCGAAGTAATTTAAAGAATTTCGCAAACCCCTTGGTTTTGTTTAGGAAGAAATTTCGGGGATTCGATGCTTTCTTTTTGCAATAATTGGCAAGAATCTTGAGGACTGCATATATCTTGCTTGAAGTAGTTTAAAAGAATTTTGAGGGCCCCCTGTGGATCTTGTTTTCGAAGTAATTTGCAAGAATCTCCCATTAGGTTTTACTTTTAAAGTAATTTGAAAGAATCTCGAGGATCTTTCTTTGTCTTTATTTTGAAGCAATTTGAAAGAAATTCTGGGATCTCTTATGTTTTGTTTTTGAAGTAGAGTTTAAAAGAATCTTGGTGTCCCCTGTAGATCTTATTTTTGAAGTAATTTAAAAGAATCTCGGGGACTCCTTTTGTATAATTTTTGAAGTAGTTTTAAAGAATCTCGGGGATCCATTTTCTTGTTTTTGAAGTATTAATTTCAAAAAATCTAGGGGACCCCTTTTTGTTTCGTTTTTAAAGTACTTTGAAAGAATCTCGGGGATCCCTTGTCTTGTTTTTAAAGTAATTTGAACGAATTTCGGGGATCTTTCTTTGTATTGTTTTTGAAGCAATTTGAAAGAAATTCTAGGATCCTTTGTGTTTTGTTTTTGAAGTAAAATTTAAAAGAATCTTGGGGTTCCCTGTGGAACTTATATTTGAAGTAATTTGAAAGAATCCCGCGGACTCCTTGGGTTTTATTTTTCAAAATGTTGGATCTCTTTTTGTTTCGTTTTTCAAGCAGTTTGAAAGAATCTCGTGGATCCCTTGACTTGTTTTTGAAGTAATTTAAAAGAATCTCGGGGACTCCTTTTGTATAATTTTTGAAGTAGTTTTAAAGAATCTCGGGGATCCATTTTCTTGTTTTTGAAGTATTAATTTCAAAGAATCTAGGGGACCCCTTTTTGTTTCGTTTTTGAAGTACTTTGAAAGAATCTCAATAATTCCTTGTCTTGTTTTTAAAGTAATTTGAAAGAATCTCGGGACTCTTTCTTTGTATTGCTTTTGAAGCAATTTGAAAGAAATTCTAGGATCCTTTGTGTTTTGTTTTTGAAGTAAAATTTAAAAGAATCTTGGGGTTCTTTGTGGATCTTATTTTTGGAGTAATTTGAAAGAATCCCGCGGACTCCTTGGGTTTTATTTTTCAAAATGTTGGGTCTCTTTTTGTTTCGTTTTTCAAGCAGTTTGAAAAAATCTCGTGGATCCCTTGACTTGTTTTTGAAGTAATTTAAAAGAACCTCGGGGACTCCTTTTATACAATTTTTGAAGTAGTTTTAAAGAATCTCGGGGATCCATTTTCTTGTTTTTGAAGTATTACTTTCAAAGAATCTAGGGGACCCCTTTTTGTTTCGTTTTTGAAGTACTTTGAAAGAATCTCGGGGATCCCTTGTCTTGTTTTTAAAGTAATTTGGAAGAATCTCGGGGATCTTTCTTTGTATTGTTTTTGAAGTAATTTAAAAGAAATTCTAGGATCCTTTGTGTTTTGTTTTTGAAGTAAAATTTAAAAGAATCTTGGGGTTCCCTGTGGATCTTATTTTTGAAGTAATTTGAAAGAATCTCGAGGACTCCTTGGGTTTTATTTTTCAAATTGTTTGAAGGAATCTCGGGATCCCTTGACTTGTTTTCGAAGTAATTTAAAAGAATCTCGGGGACTCCTGTTGTATTGTTTTTGAAGTAGGTTTAAAGAATCTCGGGGATCCATTTTCTTGTTTTTGAAGTATTAATTTCAAAGAATCTCGGGGACTCCTTTTTGTTTCGAGTTTGAAAAAATCTCGGGGATCCCTTGAAGTAATTTAAAAGAACTTCGGGGACCCCTTGTCTTATTTTTGAAGTAATTTAAAGAATTTCGCGAACCTCTTATTTTATTTATGAAGGAGTTGAACCTATGTTTTTTTTGGAAATAATTTGAAAGAATCTTGAGGACTCCATATATCTTGTTTTCGAAGTAATTTGCAAGAATCTCCCCTTAGGTTTTACTTTTAAAAAAATTTGAAAGAATCTCGGGGATCTTTCTTTGCATTGTTTTTGAAGCAATTTGAAAGAAATTCTGGGATTCCTTGTGTTTTGTTTTTGAAGTAGAATTTAAAAGAATCTTGGGCTTTCCTTGTGGATCTTATTTTTGAAGTAATTTGAAAGAATCTCCGGGATCCCTTTTTGTTTTGTTTTTGAAGTAGACTGAAAGAAGTCTTTTCTTGAAGTAATTTTAAAGAATCTCGGGGAGTCATTGTGTCTGGTGCTTAAAGTAGTTTCAAGGAATCTGGAGGCCACTGTGGATCTTGTTTTTAAAGTAATTTAAAGAATTTTGGGGATCCCATGTTTTTCTTTGGACATAATTTGAAAGAATCCATATATCTTGTTTTTGAAGTGGTTTGAAAGAATCTTGAGGCCCCCTGTGGATCTTGTTTTCGAAGTAATTTGCAAGAATCTCTCTTTAGGTTTTACTTTTAAAGTAATTTGAAAGGATCTCGGGGATCTTTCTTTGTATTGCTTTTGAAGCAAATTTTTAAAGAAATGTTGCGGTCCCTTGTGTTTTGTTTTTGAAGTAGAGTTTAAAAGAATCTTGGCGTCCCGTGTAGATCTTATTTTTGAAGTAATTTGAAAGAATCTCGAGAACTCATTGGTTTTTATTTTTCAAATGGTTTGAAAGAATCTCGTGGATCCATTTTTGTTTGGTTTTTAAAGTAGATTGAAAGAATCTTAGGGACCCCCTGTAAGTCTTGTTTTTGAAGTAATTTTAAAGAATCTCGGGAAGCCATTATGTCTGGTTTTTGAAGTAGTTAGAAAGAATCTTGGAGACCTTTGTGTTTTGTTTTTGAAGTATGTAGTTTGAAAGAATATCAGGCATCCCTTGTCTTGTTTTTGAAGTAATTTAAAGAATTTCGCGAACGTCTTGTTTTATTTATGAAGGAGTTTGATCCCATGTTTTTTTTTGGAAATAATTTGAAAGAATCTTGAGGACTCCATGTCCATATATGTATCTTGTTTTTGAAGTAGTTTGAAAGAATCTTGAGGGCCTCCTGCGGATCTTGTTTTCGAAGTACCTTAATTTACAAGAATCTCCTCTTAGATTTTACTTTTAAAGTAATTTGAAAGAATCTCGGGGATTTTTCTTTGTTTTTGAAGCAGTTTGAAAGAAAGTCTGGGATCCGTTGTGTTCTATTTTTGAAGAGTCTTGTGGATCTTATTTTTCAAGTAATTTGAGAGAACCTTGGGGACTCCTTGAGTTTTATTTTTGAAATTGTTTGAAAAAATCTCGAGGACCCCTTTTTGTTTTGTTTTTGAAGTAAATTGAAAGAATCTTTGGGACCCCCTGTAAGTCTTGTTTTTGAAGTAATTTTAAAGAATCTCGGTGAGTCATTATGTCTGGTTTTTAAAGTAGTTTTAAAGAGTCTTAGGGACGAAAATAACTTGTGGAAGTCGAAATCTACAAAAATTATTTTTTTAGGTAATTTTAAAAAATGGAAAAAAAAATATCAAAAATTTCACAAAAGTAGAGAAAAACTTAGTTTCGAGCAAAGTTATTGTCTAAAAATAGTCAAACAATACTACGATGTAAATCTTGACATGCTGATTCTAAAAATATAGTGTTTTTATGATTCCAGAACCACATTTTCGAAATGTTCGATTTGAAAAATTCTAAAAACGGACTTTCAGTTCGAGATTCGTAAAAAATGATAAGACTTTTCGAAGAAATAAAGGTCGAAATAGACAAAAAAATTTCGTTAGGTTGAAAATGTGTCAAAATTTTCATAAAGGGGAATATTGAAAAATTTAGCTATCAGAAAAGTTGCCTAAAAGTCCTCAAATTTTGTGGCGTATAGATTCCACATTTTCAAAATATTCAGTTTGTAAAAGAAAATTTTAAAAGACCTAAAAATTAAGGTATTTCCGATTCGAGATTCTTGAAAAATGGTAGGCATTTTCGAAGAAATGATGCAAAATATAGCTTCTAAAGGACAAAATTTACAAAAAAAAAGTCCTTTGGATAATTTTCGCAAATGGCCAAATAAGTGTCGAAAATTTCATAAGAAGGGTATTGAAAAATTTATCGTGCAGAAAAATTGTCAAAAAATCTTCTACTCCAAAAATGTAGCGAGTTTATGATCCCTGAGCAAGATTTTCAAAATAATCGATTTGGTTTTTTTTAATTCAAAAAATTGTCATATTTCATATTGTCGGTTCTGGAAAAATGCTTATCGATTTTCTACGAAATAAATCCGAAAATAACTTCTGGAAGTCGAAATCTACAAAAAAATTTTTTTAGGTAATTTTTGAAAATGGTCGAAAAAGTGTCAAAAATTTCACAAAACTATTGAAAAATTTACCTTCTAGCAAAGTTATTGTCTAAAAATGCTCAAAAAATACTACAACACAAATCTTGCTATGCTGATTCTAAAAAGATACCGGTTAGTTTTGAAACATTCTAAAAATTGACATATTTGAGTTCGAGATTCTTGAAAAATGATAGGAATTTGCGAAGCAATAACTTGTCAAAATGGACAAAAAATTCCTTTAGGTAATTTTCGTATATGGTTGAAAATGTGTCAAAATTTTCATAACGGAGAATATTGAAAAATTTAGCTTCCAAAAAAATTGCCCAAAAATTATCAAAAAATTTTAGGACATATTCCTCGATGTGTTGATTCCAAAAATATAACGGTCAAAAATCCCGAAGCAAGATTTTGGAAATTATCGATTTAAAAATTATTATTTTTTTTAATCCAAAAGCTAAATATTTAATATTGTCAATTCTGGAAACATGGTTACGATAAAGCCGAAAACAACAAAATCTGTTTGGATAGTTTTTAAAAATGAAAATTTCAAAAAGGTATTTTGTAAAACTTAGCTTCCAGAAAACTTGTCTAAAAATCCTCAAAAAATACCGAGATATAAATCTCAACGTGTTGATTTTGAAAACATAGCGTTTTTATGATCTCAGAGACACATTTTCGAAACAGTCAGTTTGCAATAGAACATTTTGCAAAATCCTAAAAATTGCCATATTTGTATTTGAGATTCTTGAAAAATGGCATAAATTTTGGAAGAAACGAAGCCGAAAATAACTTCTGATGGTCCAAATCTACAAAATTTCTTTAAGTAACTGTCGAAGAAGGTTGAAAATGTGTCGAAATTTTCACATTGAAAAATTTAGCTTTCGGAAAATTTGTCTAAAAACCATCAAAAAATTTTGGAATTCAGATTTCGTGTTTGAAAAGGAAGATTTTTAAAAACTCTTAAATTGTCATATTTTTAATTGACAAATGGTAGGAATTTCGGTCATTTTCGAAATTTGATAGTGTCTAAAATTTCATTAAAAATTTAACTTTCAGAAAACTCGTCTAAAAACCCTCAGAAAACCACATTTCACACTATCGATTCTGAAAAAATGATAGGGATTTTCTAAAAAATTAAGTCAAAAAGTACTTCTGGAGTCAAAATCTACAAATAATTATTTTCGGTAATTTTCGAAAACGGTTGAAAATGTATCAACATTTTCATAAGGAGATGAGTTTTGAAAAATTTAGCTTTCAGAAGAGTCGCCTAGAAATATTTTCTTCAGATTTTCGAAATATTCAATTTGAAAAAATATTTTTTTTTTTAATTCTAATTTGCCACATTACAGGGGGAGATTTTTGAAAAATGTTAAGAATTTAAGAAGAAATGACGCAAAAATAACTTCTGGGCGTCGGTATCTCCAGAAAAATCTATTTAGATAATTTTGGAATGTGGTCAAAAAAAAGGTGAAAATTTTGTAAGAGGGAATATTGATTTAGCGAATTTTGAAAGAATCTTGGGGTCCCCCTGTAAGTCTTGTTTAATAATAATTAAGAAATTATGTGTCATTTTAAAAATGGCGGAAGAGTAGCCATTTTTTAAACAAAAACAGAGTTTCGTGTAATTTTAAAATTAAGTTTTTTGAACCAGAGGTCCAAACGTTGTGCAAAATATACATTCCAAATGTCTTTAGGGTCAACAGCCGTCCGAAGACGAGAACACGCCCCAGAAACGGGTCGACAAAATCTTCGACCAGATGGACAAGAACCACGACGACCGCCTTACCCTGGAGGAATTTCGGGAAGGAAGCAAAGCGGATCCCAGGATTGTCCAGGCGTTGACCATCGGCCCCGAATAGCATAAGGATGCGGGGATTGTACCCGAGACGCTCTGACGCAAACAAGGGACGTTATTCGAAATTTGTCTTAAACGGATTGTTTTCAATAAACATCTCATCACTTAACAGCCAGCGGCGAGAAATGTAAATTGTATATTGTTTTCCCGATCGAATTTTGTCCCTTGTGTCAAAACTGTGGCTACGACGCTCAATTATAAATATTAGTAAAATCACAAAATCGTGTAAGTATATTTCGAAAGTCAATTTTATTTTGTAAAAAAAGAGTGTAAAATGAACAGAATAAAAATGTTGTTTTAACGCATATACAGACAATCATGAACTTCGGTTTGTCAAGTGCTATACGTTCGTTTAGATTTTAAAACGATTAAGTCCTGATGCAATTCCTTGGTTCGTTCTCGTTAGTAGGGTTTTACTGTAATCGTAAGGACGTAAAAGTGTCAAAAATATTAAGTATGTTATAAACACCATACCTGTTGTTGTAAAGAGAATTTTATACATAATTTTGTGCGCTAGCAATAACCTTTTTACCCAAGTCAGATTTAGATGGGTTAAAAACGAGACACTGTTTAGATAAAGATGTGTGTTTATTCTTATACACACGATTGCATAATAATATTCTAAAAATCCAGTCGTTGTAGCTAATAACAGAACACTTATGGTACACAAGTTACTTATTAATGATCGTAGACATAGAATAATCCAAATTAAATGTAGTTTTTGAACATTCCATGTACTGTATGATTAAAAAAATAGATATTGAGCATTCTACGAGTAATTAAACGATGTCAAGAATAAAAAATCCTTAAAACTTGTTTTCTCGTTTTATTCTAATATTTCAACTTACCGTACTATAGAGCTTGTTGCCACTTCTTTCGTTCGAAGCCAACGCGGTGTATTAACCAAATAATAAAAAAACAACTTAACAAGTTATAAGGATCTAAAAACATACTTTATGTCTTTAGGTGGATATTTCTATAAGACTTAGCGTAGATAAGTGACATTTTAAACTTCGGAGTGGTTGGTATGATACGTACCCACCTAACAACATAACACTAGTTCAATATATACATGTTTCTATACATACAAAAGTTTGCTTATAATTTCGCCCGATAACAACAATTCATAAGTTTTCGCATTCATACAACTCCTCACTCTCACACTGATAGAAATGCTAGTTGTGGTCGTTAAAACGTCAATTCTAAACAGACTTATAATAAAGCACACGAATGAAACAAAACAAATTGTTACGCAGAGGTGAAAAGTACGCTCATTCATTTTTATTCGATAAATTATGTATGTATATGTTTGATTTGTACATAACGTGGCCTAAATAATATGCGTTTAAATTGTGATGATTTGAAAAATATGACTTTAGCAACGCGCTAAATCTTTCTGTTACCAACCTTCTGTGATAATTACAATCATTGTATCGCAATAATGAAAATGCTGTGTCTTGTATTGCAGTAGGCTGTTCTTGTTGTTTTAGATATTGGTAACATGGTTGTTTCGTTTGACACTGTTTGTTGTTGTATATTATACATAGAATGAAAAATACTTATTGTGTTGTAAGTTTTGTAATATTAAAATTGAATGTACAAAATAAATAGTATAAACTATAGTTGTATTTTTACGTGGCATCGTGCAACCCCAGCACCCAAAATCCCTACGTGCTCGACGACACTGCTCATTCGAATAAAAAGATAAAATTTCAAAACTAAAGTGTGACACACTTTTTTGATCAATAAAGCGTTACGAAATGAGCTCAACTCACGGTAAACAAGAAATCACCGACCCTGTTGAGGAAATGTTGAGAAAAACCGGCTGCATTAACCACCACTACAAAGTTCAAGTAAGTGAGGTTATGTCACACCTGGAATTTATTTATTGCAGATTGTTTATTTAAGGAATGTATAGCGGAAACTCAAGACTGGAGACAATGTAAGAAGCAAGTCTCTGATTTTAGGAAATGTATGTCAGAATATGAAGACAGAAAAAAGAACGGAATAATTTGAGGTTATACAACCTGATCATAGACTAGAAAAATGTAAAGTAATTGTTGTTACGATAATATTATCTGATTTTTACTTGATATAACTGTGTATAACAAGTGTTTGATTGTATTGATAACATTAATTTGTGAAAATATATATTTTGTTTTTAAGCAGCAAATTATTTTAAAAGACAGTGGCGACTCGTTAATTATTAAAAGAGATAATTAAGGAAGCCAATTCAACTTCAATGATATTAAGGGGGCTATCAATAATTGTAACTATTGCATGATCATTTATTTGTGATATAAGAATATCTTACAGTGAATTTAATAATTCATCGATGTATTGTAAAATTGACAATCTAAGTATAGATGAACTTAAAAACGAATAAATCCATGAAAATAGTTTGTTCCTCTTGGCCATGCCACAAATGTGCAAAATATACACAATCATCACATAAAAGTTAGTGGAAACGATAAAGCTGTTGGCACCATCGCTATAACGAAACAGGTAATGGGAAAGAACCAAAACGATCCTCCTGCATTTTATACAAAGTACGTATTCTCTAAATTCATAAAACTATCTCTGTTAACATATTGAACTAAAAAACAGTGTAACATCACATTAATAAAAATAATTGAGCAATAATAATAGTAATACATTTGAAAAATAAAAAACAATTTAATTTATTTACACGTCGCGTCTTTAACCTAATTTCATAAGTAATAAACTTAAGAGTCTTTGGCAACACCTTCATCCAATAAACGTGTCTAGTGTTCAACAACTGCAATCAAAACATCTTGCAACCACGCCAAATTTGTAACAATGTATATACATCAAAATTGACAGTTAAGTATGTAATCGTCACACTCTTTAATCACTAGTTATTTTTAAAAAAGATCACATCACATTACGCATTCACAATCTTACTTTTCGGTGCATCTTCAAACCTGCATATTTCTAAAGAACTCATCGTGCTTAGTGAAGTATACGAATTATTCACTATATGAGGAGCTTCGTTAAACTCGTCCAATTCTTCAATATCCGCCGAAGACGGTCCTTTCAACAAGAAATACTGCTCGGATCGTGTGGGCCACAACAAATGCGCCATCACACAATACGCGAAACAGTCGGCTGAGTAAGTTATACCTGAAACGTCAAAGCTATACCCGGAAAACGTAATGAGCGTCAAAACGTACCTAAAAGTAATTTAAATCTCCACAAAGCGGATACGTGCAGCGCTATCAACGCAAGAATCGGCAAATAGATGAACCAAACTAAGCTAGAGGCGCCAAAGTGGAGCAAAAAGTTTAGTTTTTGGGTGTTGTGTTCATACAACATTGTTGTGCGCAGTTCGTACAAGAACCAGACCATGATTAGTGATCGAAATACGATGATCAGCCACCCGGGCCACGTCTGGTACTCGTCGATGTCTTCGATTATGTCCACTTCGGTCTACAACAAGAAATACGTTTATTACTATTAATGGGGATGATTTTTTTGTCAGGTTGGCGACCCATTTAATTTTATTGACGTTGGAGTCCTCAACCGCCAAAGACAAGCGCCAAATTTAAATAGTCGATGCTAATAAAAAAACTTGTTTCACTACAACTCGTCGCCTGAGAACTTGTTTGATCTACAGACCAGAGCGCGCTCAGGCCAATGTCGACTCTAAGCATTCAGAAACGATTTTATTTATAAGCCGTGAAGCTATGTTCTATTTTGTATGAATTTTTAAATGTTTTTAGTGACAATTTTTGTGGTAGTTTTCGATACACTGTATGATATTAACAGTGAGAAAAAAAATGAAAAATTAAAATAATCGAAAAATGGAGAAATCTAATAATAATCGAAAAATCAAAACCTTAAAAAATCCTAAAACCGAAACATCGAAATATCGAAGAACTGAAAATCGAAAAATGAAACATCAGAAAATCGAAAAAATGTAAAATTCAAAAATCAAAAATTTAAAAACCGAAAAATCAAAAGATCAAGAAATCGTGGAGTCGAAAAATCGAACAATTGAGAAACCGAAATAGGCCAAAATCGAAAAATCGACAAGTTAAAAATTGAACAATTTATAAATTGAAAAATTGAGAAATCAAAAAACTTAAAAATAATTCGAAAAATTGGGAGATTGAAAGATCAAAAGAACGAGAAATCGACAAGTGATGAAGTCGAAAAATCGAAAAATAGAGAAATCGACAAAAAGTTAAAATTTGAAAAATTGGAAAAGCGGAAAAATCAAAAAATTAACAAATCGAAAAATTTGATAAACAGAACATCTAAAACCAGGAAGTCGAAAAATCGAGATTAAGAAATATTGAAAAATTAAAATATCAGAAGATTGAAAAAACTAAAATTTAAAATTCCAAAAATTGAAAAATCGAAAAAGTAAAAGATTGACACATCGAAAAATCCAGAAGTTAAAAATAGAAAAGCCGAAGAATTGAAATATTGAAAAATCCTAAAACTGAAATATCTATAAACTGAAAAATCGAAAAATCAAAAAAATGAAGTCAAAAAATAGAAACCTTAAAAAATCGAAAAATTGAAAAATCAACAACCTGAAAAATTAAAGAATTGAAGAACAGGAAAATCGAAACACTCGAAGATTAAGAAACGGGAAAATCAAAACATCGATTAACTGAAAAATCGAAAAATTGAGTTTATAAAAGTCAAATTTGAAAAATTAAAAAATCGAAAATTTGACAAAATGACAATTGCAAAACAGAAAACCTAAAACCGGGAAGTCGAAAAATCAAAAGATTAAGAAATCGAAACATTTGAAAAATTTGAAAAATTGAAATATCGAAGAACTGAAATGAATTGAGAAATCGAAAAATCTAAAATTTTAAAAATTAAAAAATCTAAAATTTAAACATCGAAAAAGTAAAAAACTCGACACATGGAAAAATCCAGGAGTCAAAAATCGAAAAGTCGAAGAATCGAAATATTGAAAAATTCCAAAACTGAAATATCGAAAAACTGAAAAATGAAACATAAACTGAAAAATGAAAAACCTGGAAAATCCGAAAACTGAAATGTCCAAAAACTGAGAACCTAAGAAGTCGAAAACCTGAGCAATCGGAAAATCCAAAAAGTGAAGTCGAAAAATCGAAACCTTAAAAACACTAAAAAATGAAAAATCGAAAAATTAAGGAATTGAAGAAAGGAATATCGAAACCCTCAAAAGTCAAAATCTAGGAAAAATCAAAACATCGATTAATTGAAAAATCGAAAAATTGACAGTAATGTCAAATTTGAAAAATTGAAAAATCTAAACTTTGAAAAAACGACAATTGAAAAACAGAAGATCTAAAACCGGGAAGTCGAAAAATCGATAGATTAAGAAATCAAAACATTTGAAAATTTCGAAAACTTGAAAAACTGAAATATCGAAGAACTGAAATGAAAAATCGAGAAATCGAAAAATCTAAAATTTTAAATATTGAAAAATTAAAATACCAAAAAATTGAGAAGTCTAAAATTTAAAAATCGAAAAAGTAAAAAGTCGACACATCGAAAAATAAAGGACGAAAAGGACGAATAGACGAATAAGACGAAAAGGACGAATAGACGAAAAAGGATTACAAAGGACGAAAAATGACGAAAAAGAACGGAAAAGAACGAAGCAGGACAAAACAGGACGAATAAGGACGAAAAGTAGGATAAAGGACGAAAAAAGACGAAATGGACGAAAAGGACGAAAAGTAGGAACAAGGATAAAAAAGGACTAAATGGACGAAAAAAGACGAAAGAGGACGAAAAAGGACCAAGAAGGACGAAAAAGAACGGAAAAAGGATAATAAGGACGAAAAGGGATGAAAAGGACGAAAAGTAGGAAAGAGTACGAAAAAGGACGAAATGGACGAAAAATTACGAAAAAGGACGGAAAAGAACGAAAGAGGACAAAACAGGACGAATAAGGACGAAAAGTAGGAAAAAGGACGAAAATGACAAGGACGAAAAGGACGAAAATGACGAATAGGTGGAACAGGACGAAAAAGACGAATGGACGAAAAAGAAGAAAAGGGCGCAAAGGACGAAAAGGAAAAAAAGGACGAAAAGGAAGAAAAGGACGAGAAGGAAGAAAAGAGCGAAAAGGACGGAAAAGACGGAAAGGACGGAAAGGACGAAAAGGACGAAAGGGACGAAAAAGACGAATAGGACAAATTGACGAATAAGACGAAAAGGACGAATAGACGAGAAAGGACAAAAAATGACGAAAAGAACGACAAAGGACGAAGAAGGGCGAAGAAGGACGGAAAAGAACGAAAAAGGACGAAAAAGGACGAAACAGGACGAAAAAGGACAAAAATTACGAAAGAGGACGTAAATGACGGAAAGTAGGAAAAAGGACGAAAAAAGACGAAATGGACGAAAAGGACGAAAGGTAGGAAAGAGGCCAAAAGGGACTAAATGGACGAAGAAGGGACTAAATGGACGTAAAAGGACGAAAAAGGGCGAAAAAGAACGGAAAAAAGATAATAAGGACGAACAAGGAAGAAAAATCAATTAATTGAAAAATCGACAAATAAAGAGTTTATAAAAGTCAAAAATTGAAAAATCGAAATATTTAAAAATCGTAAACTTGAAGAGAAAAACTAAAAACCGAGAAATTGAAAAATTGAGAAAATGTAAAATCGAAAATTTGAAAAAACGACAATTGAAAACAGAAAATCTAAAACCGGGAAGTAGAAAAATCGATAGATTAAGAAATCAAAACATTTGAACAATTCGAAAACTTGAAAAACTGAAATATCGAAGAACTCAAATAAAAGAAAAACTGAAAAATGGAAAACATGAAAAATTCTAAAACTGAAATATCCAAAAACTGAGAACCTAAAAAGTCGAAAAAATGAGCAATCGAAAAATCCAAAAAGTGAAGTCGAAAAATCCACACGTTAAAAAAACTAAAAAATGAAAAATCAAAAACCTGTAAAATCGAAAAATTAAAGAATTGAAGAACAGGAATATCGAAACCCTCGAAAGTCAAGAACTGGGAAAATCAAAACATCGATTAATTGAAAAATCGAAAAATTGACAGTTTATAAATGTCAAATTTGAAAAATTGAAAAATCTAAAATTTTAAATAATGAAAAATTAAAATACCAAAAAATTGAGAAGTCTAAAATTTAAAAATCGAAAAAGTAAAAAGTCGACACATCGAAAAATAAAGGACAAAAAGGACGAAAAGGACGAATAGACGAATATGACGAAAAGGACGAATAAACGAATAGGACGAAAAGGACGAATAGACGAAAAAGGACCAAAAATGACGAAAAAGACGAATAGACGAAAAAGGACGAAAAATTACGAAAAGGACGACAAAGGACGAAAAATGACGAAAAATGACGAAAAAGGACGGAAAAGGACGAAACATGACGAATAAGGACGAAGAAGGACGGAAAAGGACGAAAAGTAGGAGAAAGGACGAAAAAAGACGAAATGGACGAAAAAGGACGAAAAGTAGGGAAAAGGACGAAAAAGGACGAAAAGGACGAAAAGTAGGAAAAAGGATGAAAAAGGACTAAATGGACGAAAAAGGACGAAAAGGACGGAAAAAAGGATATTAAGGACGAAAAAGGATATAAAGGACGAAAAATAGGAAAGAGTACGAAAAAGGATGAAATGGACGAAAAATGGCGAAAAAGGACGAACAAAGACGAAATGGACGAAAAAGGACGAAAAGGATGAAAATTAGGAAAGAGGACGAAAAAAGACTAAATGGAGGAGAAAGGACGAAAAAGGACGGAAAGGACGAAAAAGGACGGAAAGGACGAGAACGACGAAAAGGACGAAAATGACGAAAAGGATGAAAATGACGACAAGGACGAAAAGGACGAAAATGATGAATAGGTGGAACAGGACGAAAAGGACGAAGGGACGAAAAGGACGAATATACGAAAAAGAAGAAAAGGACGTAAAGGACGAAAAGGAAGAAAAGGACGAGAAGGAAGAAAAGAGCGAAAAGGACGGAAAAGACGGAAAGGACGAAAAGGACGAAAGGGACGAAAGGGACGAAAAGGACGAATAGGACGAATATGCGAATAGGACGAATAGACGAAAAAGGACGAGAAAGAACAAAAAATGACGAAAAGAATGACAAAGGACGAAGAAGGACGGAAAAGAACGAAAGAGGACGAAACAGGACGAAACAGGACGAAACAGAACGAGAGAGGACGAAAGAGGACGAAAGAGGACGAAAGAGGACGAAAGAGGACGAAAGAGGACGAAAGAGGATGTAAGAGGACGTAAAAGGACGAAAAAGGACGTAAATGACGAAAAGTAGGAAACAGAACGAAAAAAGACGAAATGGACGAAGAAGGACGAAAAGGACGAAAGGTAGGAAAGAGGACGAAAAAGGACTAAATAGACGAAAAAGAACGGAAAAGGACGAAAAAAGGATAATAAGAACGAAAAAGGACGAAAAATCTATTAATTGAAAAATCGACAAATCAAGAGTTTATAAAAGTCAAAAACTGAAAAATCGAAATATTTAAAAATTGTAAAATTGAAGAGAAAAACTAAAAACCGAGAAATTGAGAAATTATAAAATCCAAAAATTGAATAATAAATAGGAGTAAACTGAAAAGTCCCCAAACTAAATCTCGAAAAACTGAGAATTCGAAAGTTGAAACAGCAAGAAATTATGGTCGAAACCGGTTAGGATGTGGATCACGGATCATGGCTTATAAATAAAATCGTTTCCGAATGCTTAGAGTCGACATTGGCATGAGTGCGCTCTGGTCTGTAGATCAAACAAGTACTCAGACGACGAACTGTAATTCGTGTGGCCTGAATTAAAGTGCAAGAAACAGTACGCAGCTTGTAATATTCTGGTAAATCTAGTGTCAATTTGTCGAAAGTAAAACGCGTCGTTAAAATATGACATTTTTTCTAGTTAATTTTATTCCTAGTTAGAAACACACTGTTGCCAACATAAGTCAAGGAGTCCTCAACCATCATTTAATTTAAACTATGACGCTTCTCTATGTTCTTATTTTGAGACTACGGTTATTTATTACCTAAATTTATCGTTTTTTACCAGTTGTGATAATATGACAACACCGCAACATGACGTCACGATTTTGACAATTTCATTCAAACGTAGTGTGCGTCAAAATCATCCACTATTTACGATTTTTTATCGAAAACAAGTCAAATGAAACCAAATCTTACCAAATTCCATACATAGAGAAGAATATGTACAATCCCATAACACAACCAAATGGCAAACACTAATGGTTTCCAGGATAATTCCAAACGTGTAACAGCCCATCCCTTCGCTAGTAGTAACAGCAGCAGCATAAAAGACGTCTACAACAAATTCAATTTAACAGTGCCTTTTATATTTTTCTATTTCTACCCTTGAAAGAATATCAAAAATATCACCAGTCATGGCCAATTTGGGGTACCCTTCTCCATCCAGAGCGAACTTCAAAGTGTGGATTAAAATCAAACAGAGAGCCAAAAAGTCAAGGAATAAGCTGGCTGTAAAGAGCTTAGTTACGGGGTGTTTCTGCGTCTTTACGGCATGACACTGCAACGGGACCAAAACCATGTAACACAGCCAGAATAGTAGATACAGTTCCAGAGTATTTTGTCGATCGAATGAAAACTGGTAAGTCAGAGTACTATACGACGAAATGTTAGGATTGCCATTCACAAGCCACAAATCATAATGTATAGTATAAGTTCTCATTGGTTCGTAATGGTGCCACTCACACGTCGTCAGATTAATATAACAGGCCACCATGGAGACGTACCAAAAACTACAATAGACCTTTTAACATTAAACCTCCTTTAAAACAAGTCAGTTACGAAGGCTGTTTAAAATCTTGTATCACATAAGTAAACTGGTGTCCTTTCACGACATTCCACTCTTTGTCCTCGTCGACACACAGTTTTCCTTTCGGACAAGGAATTCGTCGCAAATAATCCTGTCCTTTGGGGTCGCACTTTGGTTCGTATGCGTGAGTGCTGACTTTACTAAACATCCTCTTGCACGCCTCTTCTTTGTTATACAAAACCCTATTTTGGTAATAATCTAGAAAATACGACCTCTGTAATACTGCGAACGTCACGGGTACGGAGAAATTCTGTTCAGAGGTAATATTTCCAAAAATATAGCCGTGAGTGGCATCTGGTTGATGTCTGTCAGTTTTTTGGAAGCCGAACTTGACTAGAAATTTAAAAAACTCGTTGCTTTTGAACGTCCCCTTCAAATGAGTGCACTGTTTCATTTTAAAACACAAAGTTAATATCACGAAAATCAAGAAGAAAATATTTCTGTTCAACATTTTTGTTTGAAAATATGGCAAACGGGAACCATCGACAGGTTATGAGCACTGACAATTTTGACAGATGGTTGACACTTGACAGCGGTGACAGCTTTGACAAGTAGGTGACACTTGTTTAGTTTATGTTTATAATTCAGGATTTATTTGTTTTTAAAACTGTTGCGCCCGAATTCTACCACTGGAGAGTTATTTGAAACCCGTCTTTAAATAAAAGTTGGCACTTTTACAGGTAACACCGCGTGATGTTTAATTATTAACCAACCAATCTGTCAAACCTTGAACGCTTCAAAGAACATATAATTATTAATAATTGGGTGGTAAATTTCGTACGAGATGGACAAATTAACTCTTATCTCGGGGACGTTATTTATGGCGGCTGATATTTTCGCCATCGTAAGTTTGGCAATGCCCGACTGGATCATCACTGACGTTGGAGGTAAACCCCCCTAAAAATTACCAAAAATCCCGACTTATACGATTTGTTTAAAGGGGACACCCGTCTGGGACTAATGTGGACCTGCATGACATTGTATAATCGACCACAAGTGTGTTTCACTCCTGACCTTCAACCAGAGTGGTTGCTAGCTTTAGTGTGCATTTTTGTGGGCTGTATTTGTATTACTACAACCATCATACTGTTAGCTTCATCACAGTGGGACCGAAATGTCATTCCATACGCCAGATGGGTTGGTTTTACCGCAAGTGAGTAATGTTGATTTTTGTGTCTGAAGCATGACAATGTGGTTGTTCTAGTGGTACTATTTTGTTTGGCTGCTGTAATATTCCCAATGGGTTTCCACGTGGACGAAATTGGTGGACAACCATACCAATTACCAAACAGTCATCAAGTTGGAATCTCATACATTTTGTTTGTCTTGGCGCTGTGGATCACAGTCATATCAGAATTGTTTGCAGGCAAAGTTTGTTTGCCGCATTTTTAATTTATTTTATTTTGATGATCTTGTAAGTCAGTATTTAACTTTTTACAACAAAGGTAAGATGGTTACACTAGTGGTGTATAATATCTGCGGCTTGACTCAAATACATGGATTTTGTATATATTTCTGTACTCAAGAATGGTTACTGTGATAGATTTTGTTGCAAGTTTGCACTGGAATTTATATTGATGTAGATATTGTAATAGATGTAACATGTACAAAGTGGTGAATTGAATAATATACATTGTTATTAAAAAAATGTTCGTTTACTTTTTGAGTGTAAGCTAAGCTCTGTCTGTCTGCCTGTCTGCCATCTGTTCGGATTTTTATTAGATAGACAATTTTCGAAACTACTCGACCGATTGTTGTCACAGTCTATATATGTATTTTAGGAATATCGCGCAGATGTAAAACGCTAACCAAAATTTACATTAGTAAATATTTGAATTTATAAAAAAGTCAAAATTGTATAACAACAACAAAACCGAATACTCTGAAATCTTGCAAACGTTTTAAGCATGGTAAATCATGGGTAAATCGTTCATCTTTTTTTTTGTTTGTTTACGCCCCCCAAAAAAGTGATACGTCATTTTACAATTTTTACTTAATAAAGTTTCCTTAAATTTGATAGAATTCACTGCTGCATGTGTGGTTTAAGAATCCTATTGAGTTTTTACTAGTAGCATCCAGCATTTTGGGGAAAAAAATAAAAATTTTATACAATATTTTACACAAAATTTCACTTTGAAGTTGCAAAAACCAAATGGCAGAATGCTGTGAAATCTAGCAAATATCTTAAAGTTATTATTATTGTTACAAGTTTGTCGAATAAATCTTCAAATTTATTAACGTTTTTGAGAAAAAAAAAGAGTGCGTCGACCCAGGGATGCAAGGATGGAGTTTTAAGTCTGCGTTGTCAATTTATATAAATTAAACACGTATACGCGGCGAACTCATTAATTTTCTCTTAAAAAATAATAAAAACCAAAAATTGGTTACATTTGTATTTTTTGACAAAATGATGATTAATGATGATTGGGTTAATTAAAGTAAATATCCATGTATTGTCAATTGTTGTTTATTATAAAATATACTTTTTTTATTTGTCATTTAGAAATATCTAATTATTATAATAATATTGTATAAAAATATAGCGCGGCTTTACATGCCTACGTTCAGACCGGTGTCGGTGTCGAACTCGACATCTTATTCCGGCGCGCGTCGTATGCGACGAGAAATACAAAAAAAAAGGAATTAAAACTCCAAAAACTGAGTGATTCATTAATTAACCAGTCCTCTCTTCTACGTTGAAAGAGACAAAATGAAGTTTAATTTCAGTTTAACCGCTGATGCTTCTAATCTGAACGTCAAAATAGTTGAATTTTTTTGAACTTTAAACATCAACTGTCGAAGTTAAGCATGTAATGAGAAATTTAGAATATCCACATTTTTTTCCGTTGGTTATATGCTTCAAGTATAACTATTTTAACTTTATATATTGTCCACACTTGTACGGACCGCAAACTCAAATTTTATCATATTTTAAAGAAGCGAGATTTGTCGAACTACGTTGCAAGGTCGAAGGAATTTCCGTCGAAATAAATTTTAAATTTTTTTTAAGAATGTAAAACCTTCTCGGGGGCCAACTGTCTTTTTTTATAAAATGTGAAAATCTTCTCGGGAGTCCAACTGTCAAGAAAGTGAAACCTTCTCAGGGATTCCAACTTCTTTTTTTCTTTTTGAGAATGAAACCTCGGGGGGCTAGCTTTTTTTTTTAAAGAAGGCGAGACTTCGGGGCCCGTTCTGTTTTTTAAGACTGTAAAAACTTCTCGGGGGGCCCAGTTCTCTTCTTTCTTTAAAGAACGTGAAATCTTCTCGGGGGTCTCAACTATCTTCTTTTTGTATCAAGGCTAAACCTTCTCGGGGGCCCCAAGTGTCTTTTTTTTAAATATAAAACCTTCTCGGAGCCCTCAATTGTCCTTTTTGTAAAAATGTGAATAAATCTTCTCGGGAGCCCCAAGTGCTTTTAATAAAGAGTACCTAAGGTAAAACCTTCTCTGGGCCCCCAACTGTCTTTTTTGTAGAGACTGTGAAACCTTCTCGGGGGCCACAACTATTTTTTTTTAAGAAGGTGAAACCTTCTCAGAGGCTCTAACTGTCCTCTTTATAAGAAGTAACAATATGAAACCTTTTCGGAGCCCTCAAGAAAGTGAAAACTTCTCAGGGATTCCAACTGCTTTTTTTTTAAAGAAGGTAAAACCCGGGGGGCTCCAACTTTTTTTTTTCTTTTTGAGAATGAAACCTCGGGGAGCTAACTCTTTTTTTTTTAAGAAAGCGAGTCTTGGGGGCCCCTTCTGTTTTTTTTTAAGACTGTAAAAACTTCTCGGGGGCCCCAGTTCTCTTCTTTCTTTAAAGAACGTGAAATCTTCTCGGGGGTCTCAACTACCTTCGTTTTGTAAAAAGGCGAAACCTTCTCGGGGGCCCCAAGTGTCTTTTTTTTAATATAAAACCTTCCCGGAACCCTCAATTGTCTTTTTTGTAAAAAACTGTGATTAAACCTTCTCGGGAGCCCCAACTGCTTTTTTTAAAGAGTATCTAAGGTGAAACCTTCTCTGGCCCCCCAACTATCTTTTTTGTAGAGACTGTGAAACCTTCTCGGGGGCCACAACTATTTTTTTTAAGAAGGTGAAACCTTCTCGGGGCCCTCAAGAAAGTGAAACCTTCTCAGGGACCCCAACTGCTTTTTTTTTAAAGGAGGTAAAACTTCGAAGGCTCCAACTTTTTCTTTTTTTTGAGAATGAAACCTTATCGGGGGCCTAACTCTTTTTTAAAGAAGGTGAGACTTCGGGGCCCCTTCTGGTTTTTTAAGAGTATAAAAGCTTCCCGGGGGCCCCAGCTCTCTTCTTTCTTTAAAGAACGTGAAATCTTCTCGGGGGTCTCAACTACCCCCTTTTTGTAAAAAAACTAAACCTTCTCGGGGCCCTCAACTCCCTTTTTTAATAATGTGAAACCTTCTCAGGAGAGCCAACTGTCTTTTTTTTACAAATGGTAAAACCTCAGGAACCTGAACTGTATTTTTCTTAAGAAGGTGAAACCTTCTCGGGGTCCCACCTGTTTGTGTTTTTTTAGAGAATCTGAAGCCTTCTCGGGGGCCACCCACAACCATCTTTTTTTTAAGAAGGTGAAACCTTCTCGGGGGTCTTAATTACTGTCTTTTTCTAAAAAGGCGAAACCTTCTAGAGGGCCTCAAGTGTCTTTTTTCTAAAATATAAACCCTTTCCGGAGCCCTTTATTGTCTTTTTTGTAAAAACTGTGAATAAACCTTCTCGGGAGCCCCAACTGCTTTTATTAAAAAGTACCTCAGGTGAAACCTTGTCAGGGCCCCCAACTGACTTTTTTGTAGAGACTGTGAAACCTTCTCGGGGCCCTCAAAAAAGTGAAACCTTCTCAGGGATGTCAACTGCTTTTTTTTAAGAAAGTAAAACCTCGAGGGCTCCAACTTTTTTTTTGAGAATGAAACCTTCTCTAGTGCCTAACTCTTTTTTTTTAAAGAAGGCGAGACTTCGGGGCCCCTTCTGTTTTTTTAAGAGTGTAAAAACTTCTCGGGGTTCTCAACTAACTTCTCATTGTAAAAAGGCTAAACCTTCTTGGGGATCCCAAGTGTTTTTTTTATAAAAATATTAGAGATGTACCGACTATTGTCGGCCGACTGTTCGGCTTTGCTAAAACCGGTTAAAATTTTTAATCGACCGAAAATTGGTGTCAAAGTATAGATAATCTTCCGCTGTTACGATTCTGAAATCGTCGTCACGATATCTGGTCCAATAAACACGCAAAGTGAATTCAAAATTTCCAAAAATTTTCCAAAAAAGTGTTTAAAATTGGTTAAAGTATTGTATAAACTGACCCTAAATTGTGTTATTCTTTATTTTGTACTGAGTTACTACAAAAAATTAACGGTTTAAATTATCCAAACACCTCTTTTATTTATTTACCTTTTTTCTGTTTTATATTTTTAGTTTTTCGATTTCTCAATTGTCCAGTTTTTAATGAATCAATTTTTCAATTTTTGATTTTTCAGTTGTAAGATTTCCCAATTTCTTATTTTTTCAATTGATCGATTTTTCAATTTAATAATTTTGCAACTTTTCATTTTTACAGCTTAATATCTTAGCAAGCACTAGCCCTCTCTTTTCTTAGGAGGTATCCTATTTGCCAAAATCACTCTTATCTTAGCAGGCACTAGTATTTCCGCCCACCCACCCTTTCTTTTCTTAAAGGGTACGCCATTTGCCAAAATCAGTTTTATTTTAGCAAGTACTGATGACCAACTTTTACAAAAAATGATCAAAGTTTGGAAACATTACTTATATGCACAAGGCAGGAATTTTGAACATCTTCTCTACTGTTTAGTTGGTTTCTTTTGTTGGTTTTGTTTTTGTTTATAATTTATAAATGTCTTATTAAATGTTTTGTTGTTGGCAGTACTTTTTAAACAAAAATGTGAACTTTTCTTGTGTTTATGTTGGCATAACGGAAGTACTTTTGTGACAGATATGTCAAACGTGGCATGCGATAAATTTAGCTTATTAAAAATATCAACAATCTATCAATTTTGACAGCTGACAACCGGAAATGATAGAAAACATCGTGATACCAATTTCAATTAAAAATCCAGGACTGCCAATAGACTCAGTCATTTCTGATCACCCGGTATTTACGGTGATTTTTATTAAAAAAGTACTGGCAACATCTTTAGTTATTTTTGATTATAAACTAAACTAAACACTGTGACTAAAGTAAAAATCCAGAATTATTAATAAAAAAATTGGTCGACAGAACTTCTCTCGCTCCAGTGGCGTCAATAACACCCAAGGGGGTAAATTTCAACTACGTACGAAATAAATTTATTTAGGTAACTTTCAATTTTGTAATTTTGCAATTTTTTGATTTTTCAGTTTTATATTTTTACTTTTTCGATTTCTCAATTGTCCAGTTTTTAATAAATCAAGTTTTCAATTTTTGATTTTTCAGTTGTAAGATTTCCCAATTTCTTTTTTTTGTTCGATTTTTCAATTTAATAATTTTGCAACTTTTCATTTTTACAAGTTCATACATTTTTTAAATATCATTTGTTTGCACAAATTTCGTTGTTCTGTGATTGGACTTTAATAAAAAAATGTTTCATTTGCCACATTCCGTCTCCATTGGCGCCAAATTTAAATTACAAAGATAAAGCTAATTTTGGCAAATT